ACATCCGTTTGAGTAAAGGAAAGACTACCTCGATTCACTACACCCCAGTGAAGAAATCACCAAGTAAACCCTGGATGACCAAACCTGTTGGGGATCATAGACTAAAATGGAAATTCATTCATAAACCATTAAATTAATATTGTATTTCACTGTCTTTTTCATTGATTATACTGTCACTGCCTTCAATGTTGACACCTATGTAACACTGAAAGGGGCCACAGCTAATTACACAGGACTCAGGGATTTCTGTCTTTGCAGAGAGGTGCACCAATGGAACCTTCCCTTAACAGGGATACCACCAAGCAATTGGTCAGATTTGAACCCCTACAGCTTACACAATACTAGTGCTCAATGTAGACAGGCAGGATCTTCCCTGGGAAAGCCCCTTCCCAATTACTACCTATCAAGGAGTCAGTCACATACACAGGGCTGAACAAGTCTGGGACAGATCTCGGCAACTTTTCCGGTAACACAGCTGGGTGGGTCCATGTCACTCAGCCAAGGTGGAAAACCTGTCTTTTTGATAGACAAACCAGAAACGAGTCTGTGAGAATTGATACCAGCTGTGATCTTACTGATGCATCTTGGTGGTTTTGTGGGAATGGAATAGCATTAAAGCAATTACCAGGTGACTGCACTGGCCAATGTAACCATGGGATGCCTTATCCCTCAGTTGCAGGTTATAAATCAAACTAATGAAATGACAGTTATTATTCAAGGACTATGGAAGAACAGACTCACTAAGAGAACACCCAATAGCCCACTGGTGTGATGCAGCACTAGGATTCACAGTTTTGTTAGAGTGTTGCTCCCAATTTTAAGAATTGCACAATTGGAAAAGGCAATTTCAAACATCTCAGCCAAAACAGGATTGCTAACTCAACAGCAGATGCCTTACTGTGACAGATTGGCATTTAAGAAAACAAAGAGAAACACCTGAAGAAGTTAAAACTGCTGGAGGCTGATGGGAGTTTCTCTCCTGGCAAGCAACTGGCCATTTTTGAGAACTGACAGCAGTTTTGACCATTGAAAAGTGAGATCAATCTGTGAACACCACCTTAAGACCTAAGCCTGGGAATTTCTTTGTTTCTTTGTTTCCTGGCTGTGAAAGGTACCAGAGCTCCAGCTGGCTTCCCGTTCCCCTGCCCAGACCATGTGGCCCGGGCAGGGGCTGGGCTGGGCCTGATGCAGCTCCCGGCCAGGAGATGGGGCCTGCAGGGCTTCACCCCGGGCTCTGGCCGGGCCAGGCCGGTCCCTGGCTCAGCTGCAGTTTTTGCCATTGCTGAGTTTCATCAGAGACTGCCGAGTAAGGAGAGAGAAAGCCATTGACTTGCAGTGGGCTGAGACAGAGACTACACTTTCCAGAGCAACCATGAAAAAAATCTTCCATCACAGACAGGTCCAGCAGCTGCTCTGGCAGAGATCACAGAACCATCTACAAAGCCTGGGCAAGATTTTAACTCTTTCGCTACCCAGCTGAGACTTGCAGATTAATCCTTTTTTTTTTTCAGAGAGAGAGAGGAAAAGAGAGAGTGATCAACAGGTAAAGAGACAACATAAACTATCAAAGACAGTGAAGAAAGGAATTAAGCTTCAGATGGGGAGAGAAATAAAGAGATGCTTTAATAAGCTGAAATATTCTTTTGCTAAAACTATAGAGATGGACAATAGTGTTCTGAAAAACTCCTTTAATTCATGAAAGAGTATTTTGGGGGGAATAGAGTATTTCAAAGTGTGAATTTAAGCAAATGGTGAAGTAGTTGTGATCTTATGTGATGCTGGAACAAAAACGGAGAAGTGAGAGTTGTTGAAAATTTGTGGCCTTGGGATGCAAAGAGAAAACTTCTGTTTCCAGAGATACTCACAGAGACAGATGAAGAGAACTTTTACCTTTGAATAACTCATCCTTAAAATGACACCCCTTGAGCCATGACCTATAACGCACCTCAGCGTGATGTCAAAAATGTGAGGAAAACCATAGGAAAATGGTTTTCTTGTGAACAACTCCATAGATTAGCAGAAGAGAAGTTCTTTTTCTCTACAAAGACTGATGAAGAGACTATAGCAAAGTTGGGACTGTTTTAACCACCAAAGTTTGTTGTCTCTGTGTTGTCATGTGAACGAGAGAATGGTTGAGTAGTGGGGAAAAAGGAGCTCTGGAAGTTTTATTCTGGTTTCTTATTCTTGTAGTTTTGTTCATAAATTTTGTTTATTCCTTTAAAGTTTTAAGCCTGTTTTGCTCTTCTTCTAATCCATATCTCACAGCAAGAAATGAATAAGTTCTCTAGTGATTTTTTGGTAAATGCTTTAAAAGCACAACACTTACTAAGACTACGAAATGAAATAAACTCACTAGAAGAAGCAGTCTTTCAAAACCACGTGGTGTTAGAGATGATAACATCCCAAATGGGAAGAGTTTGTATTCTAATTAATACCAGTTGTTGCACTTGGATAGATCAGTCAGGGCAAGGAGCAATGGATTTCCATACCGTTTGGCAACGTGCAAAGGTGCTCCCTGAAGTAACCAAAGATGATACGTCTTGGAGTAAACATTTGTGGGGAGCTCTAACATCTTGGCTACCTTATATGAATTGGCTAACACAACTGTTTGTAGGAATTTTAGGAATTGGAATAATAATCTTAGGATCCTGCATGATGAGCCAGAGTTTCATATGGTATTGTAGCCAAGCTGTCACCACGTATCACAAATGGAAGCAAATTAAAATGACATTCAGGATCAAAACAGGTAAATATTTTGTGACCACAACAAGACTATAGCTGCAAAAGAATTTGCAAAGGATAAAAGAAAGGGCAGACTTGTTGCAAAGGCAATGAGATAATGTTTGAGCTACACGAAAAGCTGGAGCTGTGCAGTAAGTAGTTGTGTTGTAACAGGGTATGTAAATGAAGCACTTTTTAGAAATCAGCAAATTTAGCAGAACAAGTGAACTGCAAAAACTTACCACTGACTGTGTGAGCAGACAATCTTATAGAGCATGCCTTGGAAGGAGGGGTGAAAAGTTTAAGCCTGAGGAAGACTTATGAGCCATCATCCAAAACAACCACCAGGAGGCTGAGGACCATCTCGTGCAGAAGCCGCACATGTGCTACAAGGTTTTACATAACCACGTGATTGGAAAATACGCTGCAATATGAAGGTTAGGAAAGTATCATGTGCACATTAACTAAAAAAATGTATAAAAGGTAGTACGGTGTGAAGAATGGATGAATGGGTGAAGCAATGCCCCTAAATCTCGGAATCGAATAAACAAATACCTGCTCCATAGGTCTTATATTAAGGAGTACGGTTTCCTTGCCCAGTTTCTGGGCAGCAGCACCATAATCAGAGACACAGAACAGCTTCTCTTCCCAGAGTTATCCCAATAGTCTGCACTTCCCCATGGGTCTGCCTTGAGGTTCACTGGGAACCTCCTGGTTGTAGCCGTCCATTCGCGTGCTCAGCAGGGATGCAGTTGTGTTTGGACATGAGCTGCCACAGCCAGACACGCAGCAAGAGGAATGTAGAATATCAGAGGCTGTGTAGATCCATTTTTTTTTCCAGGATGCAAGAAAGAAAAGCAAAAGGAAACATGGGAGAACCTCAGTACAATTGAATTGCCTGGGGAAACCCAGAAACTGATGGTGTTCTGGTGCTACTGCCAATCCCTTCTATATAAAAAAAATTCATTTCAGGAAGGAGCAACATCATCTGACAGATATCAAGAGTTGATCCAGGAAGCCCCTGCAGGATGGAGCTCAGCCCCCAATGCACGTGGGCTTTGCCTGCCCTCTGGCACAGAAGCCCCCCTTTGTGACACGTGGTGACAGAGGAGCTGGCCACAGCGACAGGTCCACGCCACAGTGCTCGGTGCACGCGACGGGACAGGACGCGCCAGAGCGGTGCTGTGAGGAGCCCCAGCACAGCGCACTCGTTTGTGTCTGACCCGGAGCTTCTCTGAGCCGTCATTCTTGCAGGTGACCTCGAGGCCAGACCACAGGACTTGGTGACCTGTGGCCTTGCCGAGGCTTCTTTTCTTAAGGTGCCCTCGAGGGCAGACTGTGGGACCTGGTGACCTGGAGCTTTTCCGAGGCATCGCCCATCCCTGCAGTCACTGCCCTTGAGACCAGGGCACAATCCTTGACGAGGAGCCTCCTGTCCTTGTGGCAGGAGCCCTCAAGACCCGAGTGCAGGATTTGCTGTCCTGCAGTCTTGACAGAACTTGAGTCTTGCAGGTGCCTTCCAGGCACAACTGCAGGACTTGCTGCCTCAGAGCTTTTCTGAGGCATCTCTCTTGCAAGTACGATAAATCCAGGCACTGCCATGGAGCAGCGACCCCCAAGAGTTCCCAAGCTGGCCTGGGTGGAGGAGGAGGAGAAGGAAGAAGAAGGCCCTGGAGCTGCCCCAGAAGTAGAGACCGAAGAGGTGCAGGAGTTCCAGCCGCTGGAGGAGGGTGAGTTGAAGAGCTCGGCCTTAGGGCTAGTGCCTGTTGCCACCTTAGCCCCATCCCATTGCATGCCATGCCATCCCCTGGTGCTGTTCCGATGGAAAGGATGGGAGAGTGTTGGAAAAGATCTGGAGCAGCGACCCCCAAGAGTGCCCAAGCTGGCCTGGGTGGAGGAGGAGGAAGAGGAAGAAGGCCCTGAAGCTGATCCAGAACTGGAGACGGAAGAGGTGCAGCAGTTCCAGCCAATGCAGGAAGGTGAGTGGCAGAGTTGGGCCACAGCACTGGTGCTTTCTACCAGCTTCATCCTATCCCATCCCAACCCATCCCATCCCATCCCATCCCAACCCATACCATCCCATTCCATCCCAGCTTATCCCATCCCATCGCATCCCACTGCATTCCATCTTATCTCATCCCACTCACCCTATCCTGTGGAGACACACCCAGGGACAGTATACAAGTGGAGCTGGGGCTGTTCCCCCAGCAGTGGCCGTGCTCCATCCCCTGGGCCATCCCTGGGCTGTCCCTGCCTGGGGATCACAGGGCTGGGCTGCGTTCTCCAGCTGCTCATGCAGCCCCTCAGCTCTGGCTGCTCTCGCTCTTTGCCAGATGCAGCCATGGACCAGACACAAGAGCAGGACCTTGCCTGTGGCCTCTTCCATGGAACAGCACAGGTACCTGCAGCCATCCCCAACTGGCCTGGGCCTGCTGGCACATGCTTGGAACACTCCATGCAATATCCCTCTCTTCCCACCCTTCCTTCTCCTACCCAACATGCAAATTCATCAAGCACATTTGGCAGGAAGAGACCAGCGTCATGGGCACTGGGTCCATGGATTGGCAGGAAGAGACCAGCGTCATGGGCACTGGGTCCATGGAAGACGGTGACGTCTACACCAGCGACACCAATGCTGCCATGCTGGAATTCATTTTGGAGGAGGGTGTTTCCATTCCAGAGCAAGTAAGCAGCCTGTGGCCGTGGTTTGATCCTCCAGGGATCGCTTGGCCTCCCAAGCCACGCCTGCTGATCACTCTAAGCCTTTGAGGCCATTGCAGCGTGGTGACAAGGGAAGCACTTCTCTGGAGAAGCTGGGGACATTCCTGACTCCCTCTGGCAGCTTTCCAAGTCTCCCCTTGTGCCTTCTCCAGGTGCCTGCCGTGGAAGAGGCCACAGGCACCAGTGGCTCATGGCCAATGAGTCTGCTGACTCCAGGCTGGGCAGGACCCTGCTGGATCTGACCGAGGCACAGCCCACTGATGTGGTCATTGCTCTCCTGCGTGTGGCCCCAACGTGTGACAGGTACGGGGCCCACGTGCCCAGAGGGCTCAGGGCTCCCCAGCCCATCAGCCTGCACAGCCCTGCCCAGGTGTCTGAGCAACAGAGAGTTGCAGGGTCCTGTGTACCTACCTGGGACCTTTCCCAGCCCTGCTACATTGGCCCCCGAGCCTGCTGCCATGCCATGCCCCCTCGGGGCCCTGTCCCCGCAGGCTGGGTTGCCTGGGTGCTGCTGCCAGCGAGGGGCAGCGGGCAGAGGCAGAGC